GGATGGAGCTGAGCTCGGGGGGGACAATGCTGAGCCCACGGGGGGGACGGGGCTGAGCCCACGGGGGGATGGAGCTGAGCTCGGGGGGGACAATGCTGAGCCCACGGGGGGGACGGGGCTGAGCCCACGGGGGGATGGAGCTGAGCTCGGGGGGGACAATGCTGAGCCCACGGGGGGGACGGGGCTGAGCCCACGGGGGGATGGAGCTGAGCTCGGGGGGGACAATGCTGAGCCCACGGGGGGGAGACGGAGCTGAGCCCACGGGGATGGAGCTGAGCATGGGGGGGGACAATGCTGAGCCCACGGGGGACCGTGCTTCCCAGCTGGCCCGCCCCCAACAAATCGAAGTTGCAGCCCCAGCGAGGCTGAAGCTGTGTTTACACACAGGAAGCTTTTTGGGCAATTAACTCAGTCCTACTCCCCCCCGAAAAGGAACACCTCCCCCGCAGGCTGGGGAAGCTCAGGAGGAAAATAATTCGTGGGATCAGCTCTGAGCCACGCGCGCACCGTCAGCGCAGGGCAGCTTCAGCCCTCGTGCAACGCAGCCCCTGAGGTTGGCTGGTTAATGGAAAGAGGAGAATCCCACAGCAAGAGGGCATGGAGAGCTAGAAACACACAGCACAGCCTGCAGACACAGCTGGGGACATGGGGGCACAAAGGGCTTCTGCATAGGAAACCCCGTTGGCAGGCTGCTGTTTGCACCACCACTGCAGACCTTGGCCCGGTGCTGCCATCCTGCACTCAGCACAGCAGGAAAGCTCCCGCCTGCCCCGTCCCAGCTTTACCTCTGCTCCGTCAGGATCTCCAGGACGTTCTCTGCCAGCCAGATGTTCTTTGCTGTCACATCCCCCCCTGCGAAAGGAAAAGGATGACAGGAGAGCGAAGCCCGTTAGGTCAAAGCGCCCTGCAGTCAAAGCCAAGCGAGGAATCTGCCTGGCCCCAAACGCCCAGAGGTGGAAGCACAGCACAGCAGCTGCCGGGAGGGGATCAAAGGGGTCTTTGCTACAACTGCACGTCTGCAAAACCGAGTGAGGAACGGGTTTCTCTTTTCTGGAAGGCAAAGAAGCCAAAAAAGGGATGAAATTCGATGAGATTCCCAGCTGCTGAGCTTACAAAGGGACCCAGCAGCTGCAGGGAACATCTGACGTCCCCAGCAAAGGCCACGAGTGGGGCAATGCCCGGAGCTGCGGCGACACGAGGGAACACAGGAACTCCAGCTGCACAGCACAGCCAAAACAATGGGATCACAACAAATTAAAGCATCATAAAGCAGGGGACGGTGGCACCCTTCCAGGTCACAAGGGGCCCCGCACGGGGGAGGTGTGAGCGAGGAAACAAGGGATGCCTTCAGCAGCACTTTGACGGACCGTTTGCGCTGCCACAACGAAGCTGGCTCCCCTCCCTCCCCTTCTTCCCCCCCCAAAGAGCAGACAAGGCCATTTCCAGCCCAGCAATTGAAAGCACAGCGTCAGGTTTTTACGGTGGGACACAAATTCCTGCAGCCTGGACGTCAGCAGCGAGGCTGAACGGGGAACACGGAAGAGGCGCCGTTCCTGCAAAGCCGGAAAGGCGTGCGTGCGCACAGCGCTTACAGCGGGACCCCACGGGCGACCCCAGCGCCCTGCAGGGCTGCCACCTCTCCTGCGCCCTCTCTGAGCGCTCATTTTGCTCGTGCCACCCCACGTGGCTCACAGCAGGCGCTGAGGACCATCGCGGTGCCCTCGCGCAGCGTGGCGAGGCGAAAGCTGGCAGCCACGGGGACCAAAGCGCTTCCTGGCAGCTCGCAGCTCCTGCCAGAAAGCTCCTGGCTCTCTGCTCGTGGAGGATGTCGGGAGCAAACGACTCTCAGGGCTCCATCTCTGTCCTTGGCTGCTCTGAGCAGGGCAGGCACGCGTCACCCCGTCGTTCGGGGCGGCTGAGCTCACCTGCAATCTGCTTCATGAAGGTCATGCAGACGCCGTCGGCGCCGAGCACGCTGCTCTTCACCAGCTCCCTCAGCAGCCACAGCAGCTGGGCAGAAGCAGAAAGGAACGTGGGTCGGGTGGGCTCTCCCACGGCAGCGCTGTGGATGCAATGCCATCCTCCCCCCCCCCCTCCCCCCCCTTTAGTCCCTTCCAGGTGGGCCCACGACCCCCCCCTTCCCCGGCTCCAATGCTCCCTCCTCACCCTCTGCCAGGTTGGCAGCCCCCCTCACCTGGGTGCGACAGGTATCCTGCAGCTTCAGGTACTTCTCCATCAGGATCTGGTTGATCTTGTTGAGGACGATGTTCATTCCATCTCTGCTCACCAAGGCCAGGTCCCGGTAGCACTGCAGCAGGGGAAAGGCCCCGTAATGAAAACCATGCAATGGGGTTTGGTGGGTTTTTTGTTTTTTTTTTTTTTTTATCTAAACCTGATTAGATAACAGCAAATAAAACATCTCGGGGAAGGGACACCGAGGCAGGAGGGTGCCAGGGGATGACCTGAATCCACATCCTGGGGCTGAGCCAGCAGAGCTGGCAGGGTTTCTGCGGTCAGGCCAGGAGCCAGAAGCTGCCCATGGCAGAGCAGACACCACAGGGCGCCTCACATCCATCTCCCCCATCCCAGCTGCAGCTCTGGAGGGACTGAGAGCAGAGAGGAAAGGCCAGGAAGGATCCATTAACAAACAGTTCATCCACCACGAGCAGCAGCCAGGCCAGAGAGAGCAAAGGTGCCGGCTCTCCCTTCCTCCTCCTCCGCTCAGGACAGCGGGGGGTGGAGGATGATTAGGAAGTAATTTGCTAATTAGCTCTGCACGAATGTTAATTTGTGCTGGTAAATGTCATGATATTCCAGAGAGCAGAGGTCTGGTCTCTGCATCCTCCTTTGGAGGACTTAATGAGGCCTCAGAAGATCCCTTTGATGAGGTTTCCTGCACTCTGGTTTTCTCCCTCCCTGTTTTCGTGCAGCGCCGTTTAAACAGATTGCAAACAAACCAAACCAAACCAAATGGGATCCCCTGCTGCAGCCCCCGGCACGAGGGGGGTTGTGATAATCCACAGCCAGGCCTGCAGGAAACCTCCAGGGCTCAGCACTGAGGGATGGGGGGGGAGAAACCCGAATTCTTCGGTTGTTGCCAAAGCTGTGAGCAACCCATCGCCTTCTCCCCATTCTGAGCTGCTGATCGCACAGGGATGCTTAATGAACAGGAAGGAATAAGTGATGAAGGTGAGATTTAAACGAGGGAGGTGGGAAATAAATAAAACAGCCCCAGAGCAGGGAAAGGATCCCAAGCCAGGGCAGGAGGAGACGACAGAGCCGGGCTGCAGCGCGGCTCCGCGCCGAGCGTTAATGAAAGGGAGAAGTGCCAGGCAGAGGAGGCAGCCCTGCCACATCAGCTGCTGTCACTTGGGTGTTTGAAGGCGGCCAAGTGTCCCTGCTCACAGCTGGATGCGTTCAGCACAGCTCATCTCTCCCTGCTGCAGTGGCGAGGCGCTGATATGGGAGGGGAGAGCTGCAGCTCGGCCCCACGGCGCTCTGCTGGGGCAGCTCCGGCCCCATTCATACAGCAGGGGGTTTAAGAGCCACAATGGGGCAGAAGGAGAGAGCTGCCCCACCAGCAAGCACAGAAGCACCCCCCGTGTTCAACCACCTCAAATATCCTCTTTTCTTGTGCTATTCCTGCTGGTGAGGTGATGCTTGGTCCACAGCAGCGCTGCTTCCACACCACCTGCGTGGCTCTGATGCTCCTGCAGGCACACAGGGCTGTGCTGAGCCCCCGCTCTGCCCATCCAGCACTGATCTCAGCGCTCTCTCCTACCCCCTGCAAGATGCTCTATCAGCCAGGTGAGTCTCAACCCCCCCCCCTTTGCGAGCAGGGGAGCGAAGCAAGGCGAAATTCACCCCCCAAAAATCAAGCAGAAAAACACTGTTGGCCCCCGGCCATGCTGTCTGGATGACACCAAGAGCTGAGAGCAGAGCCCAGTGGCCTGGCAGCTCCAATTATCCCCTAAGAAAAGCACTGTGCTCCCAGGATCTGACCTGACAAGGGCAGCGGGAGCAGCATCGCCATGGCAGCAGGTATGTCCCCCTGCCAGCTGGGCTGCCTGAACCCCTTGCCAAAGGAAATTACAGAGGGGAAGGCGCTGCAGAGGCTCCACTCGGCCCTTTGCAACGTGATTGCCAGGCAGATGAAATGCCACAGCTCGCCAGACCCGCTGCCAGCACAGCAAAGCACCTGCCCTGCAAGCCCTGCTCTCCCACGCTCAGCTCCTGGGCTCTGAGAATTCCTTTCCAGCTGAGCTCCACCGCGTCCTGGAGGAGAGGAGAACATTTCCTTCCACGTGGAGGAGGGGAAGCATCCCGTGGCTCAGCAATAAGAGCTGCTCTTTGACTCCCACGCTTCTCGGGAGGAAGGATGCGACCCAATTCAGCCCCTTGGGGTTGACGTGGCCGCCGCCGCCGCCTCCCAGTCAGGGCAGGAGGCAGAACGGGGCTGGAGGGCAGCAGGGATTCTGCCCCCGCATTTGGGAAGGTTTGAAGGAGATGGAGCAAGCCAGCAGCACCAGCAGCTGAGCCTCCATGCTCCCAGGTGAGGTGCGATCCCCTTCTATGATGTGATTTCTGGGCTGAGGACCTCAACGCCACCGCAGCCAGAGCTGTAATCTGGATCTGCTGCTTCAGTGAGCAGAGCTCTGCCCTCGCAGCACTGATCAAATCCAAAGAGAGCAGGGCGTGAGTCAACACCCCGAGTCCATCGCAGCCCCAGGGCCGTGCATCCCTAACAACACAACGCAGCGAACGCCTTCCATCCCTTCCATCCTGCACCACGCCTGCTCACTGCAAAGCACCCAACCCAGGGCCCCTGGGTGCCCCCCACCACACGCAGCCCCTCCAGCAGGGCTCTGGGATCCCCTCAGCTGCACAGAGCCTTCCTTCCTGCTCCACAGCACGGCTTCCAGCTGAGCTGCTCACAACACCCAGCGTTCGTCTGCGCGGCGACGGCTCGCGGCGGTTTTTAAAAGCCACACTTTGCAGCAGCATTAAAAAAGAAGGGTTGCTTCGAAATTAAATCTGCTCTGCAAGATTAATAGAAGCCAACAGCTAAGATGCAATTTTCTCCAGGAATTGAATGCCTCTCCTCCAGAGCCCCATTATTTCTGGAGGCATCTACAGCCAACCTATAACACACAGATCCCTGCCGGGCCCCCAAGGGGAAGGCAGAGGCTGGGAAGGGCTCTCCAGCTTCTTGAAGCCTCTTTGCTCTCCTCCCACAGCGAAAATGAATCAACCCCGGGGCTGTGAAAGGACCCAACCACCCCAATTGCCTGCGCCACGGGGATGGAACCGAACCACGGCGGCCCAAAGTCGTCGTGCTGCTCTTGTAAAGGCGGCTCGGTGCGCTGGGCTGCGCCTGCTGCTGCTGTTTGGAAGGCAGAATCCCTCGAGCATCAACACTGCGCACACCGATGGCACAGCTTTACCTTCTGTGCCTGGCTGGGTTCGGTCAGGACCAGAGTGAAAAGGCCCAGGCAGATCTCCTCGTGTTGGGAGGCTCCTTTGCATATCTGGAAGAGAAGAGAGCCGTCAGCGAGCAGCGGGTGCCAGGGGACGGGCAGGAAGGCAGATGGACGGGGAAGCTTTTCTTGGGGCAAGGAAAGGGAATCAAACAGCAAACACAGCATCACAGAACTGGAGGGGTTGGAAGGGAGCTGCAGAGCTCATGGAGTCCAACCCCCTGCCAAAGCCGTTCCTACAGCAGGGCGCACAGCTCGGCATCCAGGCAGGTCTGGAACATCTGCAGAGCAGGAGACTCCACCACCTCCATGGGCAGCCTGCTGCAGTGAACAGTGGGACCCATAGAGACACGTTGGGACCCATTGGGACCCATGGAGACACATTGGGACCCATTGGGACCCATGGAGACACGTTGGGACCCATGGAGACACGTTGGGACCCATGGAGACACGTTGGGACCCATTGGGACCCATAGAGACACGTTGGGACCCATAGAGACACATTGGGACCCATTGGGAGCCATAGAGACACATTGGGACCCATTGGGAGCCATAGAGACACATTGGGACCCATTGGGAGCCATAGAGACACTTTGGGACCCATAGACTCCACCACCTCCCTATGCAGCCTGTTCCAGTGAACAGTGGGACCCATAGAGACACGCTGAGACCCATTGGGACCCATTGGGACCCATACAGACACATTGGGTCCCATAGGCTCCACCACCTCCCTGTGCAGCCTGCTCCAGCGCTCCGTCACCCTCAAAGGTGACCCCCCCTGAGCTCTGCACACCTCGGTGATGGCAGCACTGCTGCAAACCTCGCAGTGTGGGCAGATTTGGGGCTGTTTCGAGATGCTTTGCAAACAGAACAGCGCACACCAACGCTGAGCGCTGCAGCTCTGAGCCTCCTCTCGGAGGAGCCTTCCACAACTCTGTGCGCCCAGCCTGCCTCGCCAACCCTCTTCCCATTAAGGAAAGGCAATTTCGGGCCACTCATTCCAAGAGCCCAAGGTGTTCTGAGGAGAAAAAAACACATCTAACATATCTGAGAGCTGCTGGGATGTCACACAACGGCTCTCCTTATACGGTAACATCTGCAGCGCGCCGGCGTGTATTTTAAGACCGCGCTGAGATAGAAATAAATGCTCCATCCTTCAGCTGCAGGACTGAACCTGCCCTTTCCAGCGGTCTGCGCTCGGCCTGTTTGGAGGCCAAGAAAAAGCTGAGCGGTGCAGGAGCACAAAAATACATCAGCAATGCAAACAGCGGCAGCACGTGAGCAGCAGCAGCCGCGCAGGCGCTCGCACGCTGCTGGACGCTCAGCTCTCAGCCAGGAACTGGCTCCCAAATCCCATCCTAGAGGATCAAAACCAGCCACGTTTTGCCTATCAGCTCCCAGACGGGTTGAAGAACGGGGAGAACGCAGCAGGCTCCATTCCCTCTTAACGCCCCTCCGCTCTCCGTGCTGCCACAGCCTGAACTGTTCCTTCCAGGCTGAATTTCACCCCTGTGGGGGGAGACGAAACTTACGTGTGCATTGAGGGCATCGTTGGCCTCTCGCTCCGACAGCCCGTTGGTCAGCGAAGTCACGATGCCCACGCACCTCTCCAGCCTCTGAAACACAGCAAAGCACCGTCAGCAGCGCATGGGAGGAGCGCAGGGCGCTGCTCGGAACCAGCAGCACCGTCAGCTCGCAGGCAGCAGGGATGAGGGGCTTCACAAACAACTCCTCCATGCACAGGTCTGGCTCGGAAACCACTCTGCTGACAGAGTTCCAAGAGCCAAAAAGGAAAGGCGGCGTTTCTCAGCGACACCAAAATCGGTGCCGTTTGGACGGGGGGGGCAAAGAGGCAGCGTGCAGAGCTGGGATGGAGCTGGGATCCCCAACTGCAGGAGCCACGCAGCTGCCCCACAGCTGCCCCACGGCCCTGCGAGGCCCCTCCAGCCCCATTCAGCACCCAGGGAGCTCTGCTGCTCCATCTCTGAGCGACTCCTGGCCCAGAGCAGCAGGAACAGCTGATGTTTCCACTGCGAGGCAATGGAAGGCCTCTCCAACACACGGCACCAACGTGACAGCGCTGGGGAAGCAAACAGTGAGAGCTCCCACTCGACGTGAGAGCCGTCAGAGCAGCTCTTCTTTTTACAGATCAGCTCTCCTGCAGCAACAACTGCTGGTTTTGGCTGTTCTGGCAGTGAAGACACGACCTTTGCAGGGCCCAGAGGTGCTGATGTGCGACGCCTCCTTTTGCACAGAGGTTCCCCCCTGCTGCCCCCATCTCTGAGGCAGGGAAAGCCTGAGCAGAACAGACAGCCCTGCAGTCCCTGATCTGATCTGCTCATCGCTGCCCTGCAAACGCAACGCTCAGGTTGTGGAGCTGCTTGGGGACTCCTGTGCACATCCAAGGGGCTGCGGGGAAGAGTTGGTCGAGAAAAGGCTCAGCAGTTGTTGGAGGTGATGTGAAGAAAGATGCAGCGGTCAGCAGCGCAGAGATAACGCCTCTGTCACACAGGCTTGGTTGGAGGCCCAGCTACGGCATTACAAACGAGCAACAGGGCAGCCACGAAAATCCCCACTGCAGAGCCGACGAATTATTTGAAAGGGAGAAGAGCAGAACAAAATCCAACGGCTGACAGACAAAGCCAGGAAAACCCCAGCACGAAGGAAGACAACTTGTGGGCAGGGAACGCAGCCGGGAGCCACCAGAAGAGCTTTGAAGAGGTTCAGCATCAATTTGTGCCTTTGATCCCAGGGCCAACGGGGCAGAGCTCACGGATAAGCAGATGTACCAGCTTGCTGCTGCTGGGCACGCAAGAAAAGCTGAGTTTCCAACCTCTGAGCAACCATAACAGCTCACAGTGCAGCATCAAAACCCACAGCAGAGCAAGAGGGCCGTCTTGGTGTCAGCATAAGCCCCAAATTGCTCCGAGCCACCCGTTCACCTCCATCACACCGCCGTGCCGTCAGCTGCAGCTGCTGCTGGAGGGGAAGGGAAGGCAGCAGCTTCCATCTGAACTTTGCAGGCCGAGGACTCAACGCACGAGAAGCACGCGGGGGTTTTCCTGCACGTTGAGCTCTTTGCACAGAAACAAACTTGTGCTGGTAAATCCAACAGCGCTGCCACGCTTGGGAGTAGTACTGATAGCTGAGCTTGTGTTATCAACCCAGGCTTGCTTCCAGCAGCGAAGGAAGGATGGAGGAGCAGCTGCTGGGAGGCCTCTCATGGTCACCTCTCCAAGCTGGGCCCTGCCTGCGTGGTGGAGCCGATGCTGGCGGTGCCCCAAATCCCAGCAGATCCATGCCAGGCAGGCAGAGCTGCGCGGGGCCGACCTGGGAACGGCTCAACCAGAGCTGGATGGGACCCAAAGCACACACAGGGACTGCTGGGTGCTCCGAAGGAACATAAATACACTCCGACTCCAGACCTCGAGACCCAGCCGTTCCAGTTACCTCCCTGTTTTTCTCCTATAGCTGAAACCCTGCGCGATGTTTTCTCTGCCTCACGAGCCATAAGTACACATTTCCATCCCACAATAAATAATCCTTCACTCCCATAAGCACAGCCATCCGGGGGGGGGGGGGGAAAACAGAACCCCAGCCCGGGTTGGAGGCTTCACAGCCGCTCACCCTGCGAGCCAGACGTGCTCCAGTACTGCAGAAGGGCTGAGGAGATGCAGCACTCGCAGCCCTGAGCCCAGCTCCCTTCCCCACCTCCTGGGCACTGCCGACAGCCCCCGGTGCTCCTGGGGAGCCCCAAACCCTCCCTACCTGGGGGAACCTCTCAGCTGATGCTGTGGGAAGAAAAGCCCAACGTGTGGCCTAGCTCTGGTTCAGCTCCCCGTCACCCCACCCCTGAGGCATGGGTGCAGCACCCATTCCCCCTGCCCACCTCACAGCCCCCCGCCTTCCCCCCCCCCCCCCCCCCTTTTCACACCTACCTCCTCCAACTCATCCTTGGCATCCAGAAGGGTGGAGAGCAGCAACTTGCCTCCTCCTCCTCCTCCTCCTGCCGCTCCCCCCTTCCCCTTCTGCATCTCCATTGCTGCTGGGGGGAGCCCCTACCCGAAGCGGGGGGAGGGAGGGGGGGCTCCTCTCAGGTCAAGCCCCCCCTCTACGTCCCCACTTTAGTCCCGGCTGCCCCCCCCAGTCCTTCCCGGCTGGAGGATGGGGGGGCTCTACGGGCACCCCCCGGTACCCCCGCAGCACTCCGCGCTCCGGCTGTGGGGATGTGCGGGGGTCACCAGGCCCGTGAGTGAGGCGGGGAACACGGGGGAGAAGGGTGGGGATGGGGGGGGCTGCTCTTCGACCACGCTTGGCCCCCCCTGCCGCCGTGCTGGGCTATGGGGGCCTGTGGGGCAGAGAGCCCCGGGGGTACGGGGAGGCACCGGGGCTGACAGCTGCCCCGGAGGACGGGGCGAGCGCTGCGGCTGCCGCCGGGCCGAACCGAGCCTGGAGCGGTGACAGCGGGGGGGGGGGGTTTCGGTGCCGGGGGAGGGGAGCGGCGGCTGCGCGCCCCCCGCCCAGCGCCGCCGGCCGGAAGTCACTAGGAAAGGGACGGGAGGGCCTGGGCGGAAGAGGAAGCGCACGCCGCCGGAAGCTGCCGCCCCTCCTTCACGTTAGCCAATGGAAGCGGAGAGATGGTTTTGAGTGACAGGGCGCGGAGGGGCGGGGTCGAGCAGCGCTAGTCGACCAATGAGAAAGTGGAGGCGGGGTCTGGGCGCGGGATGACCACGCCCCCTTCGGCGGGACTGGGACACGCGGGGCTCCGGGGATGGGATGGGATGGGATGGGATGGGATGGGATGGGATGGGATGGGATGGGATGGGATGGGATGGGATGGGATGGGATGGGATGGGATGGGATGGGGGGCACCGGGACCCCCGGGACGGCGCGGACCCCAAATACCTCCCGAGCGGGCACAGCCGAGCCCCCCGACCCATCTCCGTGGTCAAGAGCTGCCAGACCCCCCTGACCCCCATAGGTGTCCCCATGTGGAACGCCTCTCTTCCCCCTCCCCCCCCCC